CTGAGGGAGCCTCAGCTGGGAAACACTGCTAGCCCCAACGTGCCATTATGCATGTACATCACTCAGGTGCCATTACGTACATCAAAAAAGACATCCTGCCCAGACAACACAGTTAAGTAGAACAGTGCAATTCAAATGCAATACAGTAACATCCTTCAAACAGACTATTCTACCATTCAGCATTTTCTTCAGCAGAGTGAAGCATAAATGAGGGTCTGATGATGCATTGTACTATCTACACCCTGAATGAAGGATTCGAACCTACACATACCAAATGTTACTGTGATCATTCAAAGGAAGCCTTGATGATAAGGCATATTATAAATCATATCATGCAGCCTTCTTCAGGGTTTGCTTTTCTTTTAAAGACATCACACCCTGGAGAGACCACTCTTTAAATGGAATTATTGATGACAGCTAAACAACAGCAAACATTATTTGCTACCACTACTTCATTTTTTCTCCAACTATTTCTGGCACGCTTTAAAAGGTTGTACATTTTTACCCTACTCACATATCACACTTTCACAGAGTTCTACAAAAAAAGTCTTTCTGAATACAAATTCCACCTGTCTCTTTGAATAATACCACAGTAAGGCCTGTAACATTTCTAATTTAATTGAAAAGGGATTTTTAACCAGACTTACTTTCCTCCGTTACATCAAGACTGCTGCTGCCTTGTGCCCCTGCTTTCCACCTGACTGGGCTTCTTCTCTCCCCTTATAGATCTGTGTGTAATTTACTGGCCTCAAAATCCTTCACCAATATATATGAGTATATGAAATCTGCAAGAGGGCTGAATACATTTCACATTGTTAAATGTGAACTAGACAGTAACAGAACCTCCCCCAAGAAGTATGTGGGGTTTGTATCACACACTGGTCTTTATCGCAAGCTAGACAGGATGACATTAAGCATGTTTTCCAGCCACAGGTCCTGGTTTCCTTGCTCCAGGACAAGTTTGGCTCTTTCTCCTACCCAAGTCATAAATTCCTCACCACACTGCATGTAAGTTTGTGTATACCTGCAAAAGGCTGTACGATCTGGGGATCCAACACTCTAAGCTATATACGATTCACCGGGTTTGCTCCCTTTCATCTTCCCCTGCTTTCCCAATATATTCCACTTGATTTTTACAGAACAAGAGGGTGAACTCAAAGTATTTTTCCTTAATAGATTCCAAATGTTTTCCATAACAATATGTGGCAAGAAAACACTAAGGAACTAACTGACCATTAAGTGTTTCCTGGAATTTGTTGTTTTTTTTTTTTTCCAAAAGCAGTCATCCTCTTTATACTTTCTGCCATGAGGGCTTACTACCTCTTTCATAATGGAGAAGGGGAAGAAGGTGAAATCTAAACTTCATTCTTTCATGACTTCTCTGCTGTCTTGAATACATTATCTTTTTTGAACCTTAGAAGTGTATTATTTCTCCTCCACAATTCTTTTTTTTTTTTATCACCTCACTCCCAAGACAAGATGATGAAAGACAACATCTACTGCTTGCCTCGGCCTCCAGCATGTCTCCTCCCTAAAATGTCTATCCCAACAACACTCCCTAGCTTTTAGAAGGTGAATGGACATACTGGTACAGCAAATTAATTTTGTACTTGATTGAGCTGCTTCTCTATCTTGAGACAGATGGGAGTTTGGTGCTCATCGGTCACAGCTAGCTTGTCTGTTCTAGCAAGGTATTAACAAATCCACTGTGCCATCAAGGCTATGATAAACCCAAAAGTTTCTAGTGCGAAGTCCTCACAAGATAACCCAACTGTCCCATACCTCTCTGGGTTTTGTGCTCACAGATGGAAGAGCTCTTAGGAACCTCTGCTTACCTTTTCCCCCAGTGTTGATGGAGAGTTCACTGGGCATTTAAACAACTCATTGGTGGAAGAATTACTCCACTGCAATTAATCATGTTGTGTATCTAGCCCTCTTATCTGCAAGTTTCAGGATGCCTCTTTCAAACACCTGTTTTGCTGCTGGTTCCTTCTCATGACCCCTAGGAGGTTCCTCTACATCTGAGCATGATCAATTCCACCTGGTTTCAGTGATTCCTTGTTTGTTTTCCCTATTCTACCTTTTTCCCTACTGTTTTCCCTATTCCACCATTTTAGCAGCGTTCCCAATTTTCCTTTACTAGCCTTTGCTGTCTAGAGACTCTCTCATATGTTTGGGTGAGCAAAATAATGAAGGCCTAGTCAGCCAATCTACCTCCACAGCTTGACAGAGGAGGAAAATGCTCCTAAGACTCTCAATTATCTCCAGAAGGGTCTGGCAAGTCCTCACTGTTGATTAAACTAAGAAATTATTAGCTTCTTGTAGAGGATCTCGGATCACTCTCAATTGCTGCGGTCTGTCTGCTCCCCTTCTGTTAGACTAGCCCCTGCCACTTGGCTAACATGCGAGTACAGCAATGCTCCATTTGTACAGCACATAACAAAGTTTTGTCAATGAAGAGTGTTAAAAAAAAGCCACAATTTAAACAACTAGGCTGACAGAAACACTACCATAGACAATGTTATACCAAGAGCAAAATCATTTTACCAGCACTGTTTATATCTCCTTGGGGACTGTCTCAAGCTTCACCAGAAGAGAACTCCGGCCATTAAACCTTCACATCCTTTAGCTATATAGTCAGCCCTTTCCGTATGTAGACGAGTCTTATGTATTCTGTGCCTTCCCTGAGGAAGAACTTTCTAAGTTCACACATGCACAATTCTACAAGTAATTTTCGTTTTTCTGGAAGGGTTGTTTTGGTTGTTAGTAATTTCCTTGCCAGTTGTGAAAAGGAAGCTTCCCTTTTCCACCAACTACATCCAAGTTTTAAAATAACAAATTTAGACAAGTTTGCTTACACATTTTAAAATTCTAGCATAGAGTGAGAGCTATGCTTTTATATATCAGCAAAATCAGTTGAACCCTGTGGCAGGTGTGTAAGCAAAAAAATATTAGCTAACATATTTTAGAAACACCCTGTATTCTAGTCTTGACAGAGCTTAGAAGGTGTGACAGCATGCTGGGTTTCTGAGAAGTCAGTCACCATCCTTACTCCCCACTGTTTGAATCAGCTAGGTATTATTTCAGTTCTGTGATTCTATATTTGATTTGTGTGTTCTAACAAAAACAGCACGGAATTTTGTATAAAAAACCCTGTAAATTCAAAGGACAAGAGCAGAGATAATTTCAGCAGCTCTGTGCACATTGTTCTCTATCTGAAAAATTGTGATTGTTCATGCATGAATAGCCACAATTTTAGTTTATTTGAGAAACATGGTGATGGGTGTCATGTATTAAAGATTAGAATCTGACCTTATATGACCTCTCCCACTGTCAGTTATATGCTGACTTTGATTTTTCTTTTAAAATATAAGAGAACAACAATAATTTTCTGTGTCTTTAAAATGAGAAGCAAACCAGGGATAAAGGGAAATTCTTTTTCATTCTGTAGAGATTAGCGACATCGAAAAAAAACTCATTCTCTAAGGAGAATTATTATATCACAGACACAATGGCAGAGAAGAATATTAGAAGTTTTCCCCAGAGTCACACATATTTGTCAATCTTTATTCCTCTTCATATTTAACTTAATTGCCACAAATGGCTTATAACCCCTCCTTTCGTTACCAAGAACACAGTCCAAGGAGGAACAGAAGGCAACACAACAGACTTTCTTGTCTTTTTCATTTTCAGAATGCTATCCTACATGCCTGAATTTTTAGATTGATAATCCTGAAGGCTACAGACTCTTGGTTATTATAGGTTTCAGATACTGCGAGCTGTGAACCTTCCATCTTGGTTTGCTCAGACGTTTTGCTTCAACTTTGACCTAAGCCATGCATCTATTCAAACCTTCACACTGCTGATCAAACTTCCCAGACAGCAACTACCGTATTGATTATAACGATTCCTTTTCACAAGGATCTAGACTCAAGATCACTACATTATTCCACAGAGGATCAGCACAGGCCTTGCCCAAGTCTAGCAAGAGTATTGCATTCAATTAGAAATCAACATGCCTTAGTACTGCTGCTTCTCTTTCAAAACAAAATAATGTATGACAATTTTAAGACTGGAACCCCAATCAGTATGTTAATAACACTGGATTATCCTTTTTTTTTCTTTTAAAAGAGTGCGAAGGAAAAAAAATATTTCAGCATGTGCCTAGCAATCATAATATTACAAAGGTTACCTTATTTGTACATTTTACCTTACCTCTAATTGATTATCATCAGCATTAATCACTTTTTTTTTATGTTAACATCTAAGCAGCAGTCAAGAGTGAGGCAGTATCATGCCATATACTGTGCAAACACAATGTGGCAGACAACACCCTGCCCTACATAGCCTGGCAGACACAGAGGCACAAGAGAAAATACTAGCCAGGAAAATCTTATTCTATCAGTGTTGATGACGTTTTATATGTGCAACTGCTTTTCTTTACAGACTTGCATATTTGACTCCCATCACCTCAACAACTCATATTTTCCTTTGGCAATAAAATGTTATGGTAAAGGCACAGAAAAATCCATTTCCTCTTATGTGTAAATTGCT